TATTAGTATTGTTCATACCACTGATTTATAATTATTAGTATTGTTCATAGCACTGATTATTAGTATTGTTACGTCACCGTTGTTAATTGATTTTCCGTAACTTCGTACCGACGAAACTTAAGCGACACAAGTCTTTACTTAATAAAACTGGTTTATTCTTTCCGAATATAACTTTACCGATACTCTCAACTTCAACAATCGCGTTAAAACAAACGCGAATCAACGAACGTCCCTCGTGCTCTCTGACTGCAGTTCAATTACTCACTGTCTACACACACACATTACATTACAATCTCCTCGCGTCACGTTGTCCCCTCTTATATATACCCGCCTACCCTAACTAGCAAACACTAGAGCATTCGCCAAAGTACATGATAGTTCTAGAAACGTTGCGTCACAGTAGTCATGTGACTCGATGACGCAACACATTTATTTGTACAGTGTACACAGTTACAACATCTATATTGAGTAGTTCTTAAATGGAAACTGTTAATGGCCTCAATAAAAACGTTTAATTGCGTACACAAAAATGTTTACTTTTATTTATTTGATTTTACGATAATCATGATCCAAAAGATCAAAATGTTACTAGCAGAAGTTTATTTAATATGACGAGCACGTGACAAACTCTTACGTTTCATGGAACTGGGTCGTGCAACACACACGAACTGCAGTGTTACCACTACTGTTCACATGCTCGATGTCATTAGATTCAAACTGTTCGGGCTCGAAAAGTTAGTTAGTTGAAAAAACAGTTCGTGAAAGTGGATAACCTTTGTAAAGTGTATTCAGGTGCATCGTTCAGAGTTTAGGAAATAGAACCGATACGGTCAAGTGAATCAATTTTATAGACATCAACGAACAAAGAAACTAATGCCTGAAAATTTAGTGTTACCGATACCAATTCTGTAACCAGGAAATAGTTCGGTATTTATAAGGACACTCAGGTGACCACCAAAGGACGTAAAAGTCACAACAAACACTCGTAGTTTAAACAACAATGTTTATCTCCTTCGTATTTATGATGCCGTTTCTGGGTTCAAGAGGACAAGCGGAATCATTATCAAAAGCTCTAGAAGCTGATGCTAGTGATGTCACTTGGGCTCATGCTGTAAACAGCCGTCGAGAACTGGAAAGTTACCTGGCAAGTACGTGGCTTCGTATATTTACACAACACGTTCTTTGTACTTAAAAGGCTGCTTAACAATTAATGAACGAATTGAATCTGAACATTGCAGGTCTTGTTTCATTACTTCTAGTTAGACCGGTGTATTAAATTATCTACATAATATATTATTTACTGGATTAATTATTAGTTCTAGTCTATGTTAATATATTACTTTGAAATTCGAATTATAATTTTGAAACTCGTTCGTGGGTCCTAAGTAAATATCAAGTTGTGAAAAAAAAAATTTACTTTTCTTTCGATTTCTATGTTTATTGAACTCGTGTATGGTTCAATTTCCACTTTTTTTATGCGAATCCCTGACTACAATTTTCAAAACTATCTTACAGTTACACTTCCTAATCTTAATTAATTATCTTTATAATGAGAAAATACCTGCAGCTCAGAATTCGTGTCTAACGAAACAAAAGCATGAGAGTTTGCTTGTTGTTAAGCGACACAATGAGTTATTTGTGCTATGCCCACCACAGGTTACGAAATCCTATTTTTAGCGTTATAAAACCTACAGACTTACCGCCCGAGCCATTGGGTGCTACATAAGATAGTTTCGTTGTGTTCAGTCTTACAAGTGCTAGCGACAATGTAATAACGGGTCAAATTACGATCTCTGCTCCAGCTATGACAATGTACTATAAGTTAATGAAGGACCGTAAAAGATTAAAATAAAAAATCGGCACATCTGCATAAACAGTCGGTGAAAAATTATTTCACCCTCTAAAACCAGGCGTGGCTTAGTGTTTGACGCACTGGAGAGTACAGTGTTTGCGTCCTGTTACCATCAAAATAAAACAAACACCACCGCGTTCTGCACTTTTGGGCAGTGTATGCATTATTCGGTTAGACAAGCACTGACAATGGGCGTTATTGATTATCTGCCTTCCCTCTACTCTTATCAGTGAAAATAAGAGGGCGCCCTTGAATAGCTTTGCGAGTGTCAGGTTTAATGTATGTGTGGGCCCAGTTGTTTACAGTAGGTGTTTGTGACTTGTTAGCGATAAATTTCAACAATAAACAAACAGCACACAGTTCCCTCGTTTAAAAATAATATATTAAAACAAACGTATATACAAAAATTCCTTACACTATTGACAAGACGAATTATTCTTCTCTCCTCTGTTATCACAATATAATCTGTGATAAATTCACTTACGTTACCCCAGTTGATTCTAGAGCTTTAAATAATTTTCTTTTTTGTCAAAAGTTCACGCAGGCTGGTTCAATTACTTTAGAACACCTTTTGACAAGACAAATTATTCTCTTCTATCTCTGTTACTTAACTTCCTTTAACTTTACTTCTGTGTCTGCACATATTTATAACATGTGACAGAAATATCTAGCCTTGTAATGACAACAATATTACAAATAAATATAAAAAAAACTTAGAAGTTTCAAGTAAGATGACATCAACAATATTACAAAAGTGTAGTACAACAAGTAAAATACATTCACAATGTAGGACTCGTACAGGGTTACGTAAAGAAACTTGTCATAACTATTAATTTTAAAATAATTAACTTTAACACTCTTGTTATGAAAACTAAATAATCATTAAATATTAAATCAATAAATAAAGTAAATGATAACTTAAACTGAACAGTCTTGAATATCCAACAGAAACAACGTGGTACTTGTTTCGTTGCTGTGACTGGTTACTCATATTTAGCCTAATATGCTTAAGTTAGGTTTAAGAGTTACATAAACGAAAAGTATATTTTGCCACTTTTTAATATTGTAGTTATATAAATACTTACACGTTATGAACCAGCTGCTACCTTACTTGTCTGAATATCTGCAGGATGTAACTTGACACAAAATAATGAAATTTATAAAATTAATTAAACTGATGTTTGAAAAATGTAAAGCAAAAATAACAAGTAATATTTTGTAAATGTTTTTCTCCAAAAGTCTACAATTTGCAAACTAAGCATAAAAAGGAATAAAAAATACTTTGCCCACTTTTATTTACGTCTACTGTATAATCCTGGCTGGCTCGCCAATATCAGGTTTTATATGTATGGGCAAGATTCCTTACAGTAGGTGTCTGTGACTTGTTGGCGATAAATTTCAACAATAAACAAAGGGCACGCAGTCCACTTATTTTAAAACAACATAATATAACAAGTCAAACACACACACACACACACACACACACACACATATATATATATATAAATGTTCATTACATTGTTGGTTACCAGAGTTGTATCCAGAGCTTTAAATAATTGTCTCTTTTCGTCAATGTCGAGATTCATATGGGGCCTGATTCTTTACAGTAGGTGTCTGTAACTTGTTGTCAACAAATTTCAACAATAAACAGACAGCACAGAATCCACTTGTTTTAAAATAATATATATTCAAAACAAGTCAAACGCATGTACAAAAATTCCTTACACTACTGTTTACCACAGTTGAATCTAGAGCTTTAAATAATTCTCTTTTCATTAAAGTCCACACAAGCTGGTTCATTACTTTAGAATACGATTTACAAGACAAATTCTTCTTCTTTACTCTGTCGTTACAATACAATCTGTGATAGTTTCATTTTAAAAACCACCACTATACGCTCTTTATGATTAAACTCACAATCACGCAGTCTAGATCTATCTTTCTAGCTAACTATATAACTAACTCGAACTACATTTCGTGCACGTATTTAGGATGCAATAATACTCAGTCAAAACAACGAGAAAAACTAGTAACATGATGCAATAATACAACAAGCTACAATTCACAATAATTGAACCACACAAAGTACGATTTCTACACAGTTACGTAAACAAACCTGCTATAAACTATTGATTCTAAAAATAATTAAATTTAACATTTACTCTATATTTAAACTGTCTAAATCATAACCACTTTGCATAACTTAAAACAGTCGTGTATATTTAACAGTGCGAATATCAGAAAACAAACCATTCTGCTGTGTATTATTATTTCTAGTAAATAGCTTAACTAGCTTTACATCTCTTTTTCATTTCTATTAAATATTTTTATTTATGTCTAGGACAATCAAATTTTCGTCCCCCACAAGAACACTGTTGTAACTGATGACATTATAGTAAAAGATGTATATATGGACAACTTCCACTCTATTAGCTTCATGTTATACTACCGAAGCTTGTAATAGCAAGAGGTAAATAAAATTTCCATGTCTGTGGTTTCTTTTGGTAGACAATGGTGGAGCCCCCCCCCCCCCACCCTTGAATAATAGGTAGATGAGAAACTCTCACGTTATAGTTAAGTAAATTATGTAAACAGCTTAAATTTTATAAATAACTCCAAACTATAGTTTTAAAACAAAAAGGCACATGTCCTCCTCATTCCACTATGGTTCGATAAATCCATGACATTAAGAAAATACTTAGAATTAAAAGAGTGAAGAAATCTCAGTGCAGTAAGTCAATAACCAGATCAAAAATTAAACAGAACATACATTTTTGGTTTTCAAATTGTTCTATAAGTTTATCTTTAATTCACAAAAACAGCTTCGAAGCAGCTTCACAGTTAACTACGTGAAGAGATTAACAATAAATATTTATATAGATATAAATTGACTTCATAATTAAATCAATTCCAACCTTCCTTTTTGTTTTTGCTATTTATTCCAGGTGACGTTGCATTTTTGGAAGCTGATGTTTTGTTAGGACACGTAAAAGGCAAAGAGTCCAGTCCGGCCGTTCCTATTATGGCTCATCCTCCCTTGAATACCTCGGATATAACTTTGGAAGATTGGATTGACACTGTCATAGCAAGTGGAAAACGAAAGGGCGTGAAACTTGATTTTAAAGTACTCGATGTTTTGGAAGAATCATTACAAATTTTGGAATCTCGAAAAGAAGAGGTTAGTAATGTCCCAAACCAGGGATTGGGTATACTTTAAGTACCATTTTAATAACCTAATAATTTTACAGAGACTGTGTATACTTCAAGTACCATTTTAATAACCTAATAATTTTACAGAGACTGTGTATACTTTAAGTACCATTTTAATAACCTAATAATTTTACAGAGACTGTGTATACTTTAAGTACCATTTTAATAACCTAATAATTTTACAGAGACTGTGTATACTTTAAGTACCATTTTAATAACCTAATAATTTTACAGAGACTGTGTATACTTTAAGTACCATTTTAATAACCTAATAATTTTACAGAGACTGTGTATACTTTAAGTATCACTGTAATAACCTAATAACTGTATAGAGATTGTGTATACTTTAAGTACAATTGTAATAACCTAAGCACATTACGGCTTAGATAAAGCAAAATCTTAAAAAAATAACTGCTGCTATCAATGTTGACCTTAGGTTATTCAGGGACTATTTTAACGTGTGGTTCAGACTATGTTGTGACCGCTGCTCTTAATGTTGACCTTGGGTCATTCAAGGGCTATTTTAACGTGTAGTTAAGACTATGTTGTGACCGCTGCTATTAATGTTGACCTTGGGTCATCCAGGGGCTATTTTCACGTGTAGCTCAGACTGTGTTGTGAACGCTGCTATTAATGTTGACCTTGGGTCATTCACGGGCTATTTTCATGTGTAGTTCAGACTATGTTGCAATCGCTGCTAGTAATGTTGACCTTGGAACATTCAGAGGCTATTTCCACGTGTAGTTCAGACTATCTTGTGTAGTTATAGAAGTATGTACAGTTGTAAACATGATTTTATGCAGTTCCATTTTTACATGTAAATACCGGAGACCTGTAGAATCGAAAACTTTTCTTTACAAATGTACATCACATTTCATGTATACTAATGTGGGCTACAATATGATATAGATTTTAGCATCTTTAGATAAAAATTTAATAAAAGTTTCATGAACATCTAATATAACAGATTTTCATTATGCGCAAAAATCAACTTTGCATCCCATGAAGCAAATTTATAGTAAATAAATAAATATAATAATGCCTACCGCCCTCTGGGTACATTACAATGTGTACCACATTGTAACTTATCGTTTGTGCATCTCTGAAATTAAAATAGCCCCTGCGGTCATTGTTGAGTATTTCACCCTGCATTGCTTAGTCTGAGAAAGCTTTACAATTAAGATTAGTTAGGCCGGTATTTAAATGTTTCGTTACATGATTTGGTAATACAAATAAGATTAGTTAGGCCGGTATTTAAATATTTCATTACGTGATTTGGTAATACAAATAATATTAGATAGGCCGGTATTTAAATGTTTCATTACGTGATTTGGTAATACAAATAAGATTAGATAGGCCGGTATTTAAATGTTTCATTACGTGATTTGGTAATACAAATAAGATTAGTTAGGCCGGTATTTAAATGTTTCATTATGTGATTTGGTAATACAAATAAGATTAGTTAGGCCGGCATTTAAATGTTTCATTACGTGATTTGGTAATGTATGATATTATAGCTTCATCAACTCTGGTTGAATGCTGACATTCTTCCCGGACCAGTTGATGCCAACACACATCCTGTTAACGCCAGTTCATTTCTGTATTTGTGCAACCGATACTTTCCCACAGCTACGCTCTCTGTAGGATGGACAACACAGTTTAAACCTAACGGCACTTACCTTTGGAAACACGTCCACCAGATGGCGGAATTGTTAAGATGTACGGGAATCAATCAGTCGGTTACATTTCCGGTCCGTGCTGCATTTGTCGGACTCTCTCTACACAAACTACAATGGCTCGTAAGCGTTGTCCAACATTCGACGTTGACAGTATGGAGCTCCTCTTGGGATGCTGTAGATGTCAAAGATCTACTGAAACTACGAACTTTACTCCCGAAATTGAAAGTCTTTTACGACTTGCCTGAGCCTTTATACTCTTCTTTTCAACACAAAAAAGACTCGACGAAAGAAATTCAAAAATTGTCCACATTTGATGAATCAAGTTGGTTTAGTGTGCGTTTGAATAAGAATGAATCTAACTGTAGATCAGACCCATTTATTAGCCCTCGTACTGTTTTGTTCACAGGAAACAACATGTTTCCATACATCACGAAGAATACTTTTGAAGTTGATTCCTACACTTCGCTAGAGATTGGCTGTAAACTTAGTTATTTTACAACATATAAATCAACTAATTCAAGAAATCACGAACATGAACCTCCCAATTTAAAGTTTTTACTGCCCGGAATCAGATCTTACCCTGTAGTAGCAGCTGATAACAAAGATGAAATTAAAGAAAATGAACAAAAAACTTTACTTTCTGCTTCAGTGTTCAGCTCAGAATTTAATAGATCAGATTTAGAAGAAGTATGTCACATCGTGTCAATATTCGTAAAAACTGGAGTTAAAATAAAGACACGGAAAGTGTCTTGTGAATCCGACGAGATCTCTGTTTCCTCTTCATCTAAACAGCTAATCACGACTTACGAAACTTCCTTTTATGTTTCCCAACCAATAGGAATAGGTTTTGTGTTTGAAGGGAAAAGTTCTGATGGTGTAGCTTTATATGATGTAGAAGTAAAAGGCAAACAAACTGGAGTTAATTCTGCTGTTTATTTTCAACTGAAGTCTGTTGTGTTTATGATTACCTTGTTGTGTACTATGACACAAAGTTTTTGAATACGATATTAGTAAAAAACAGATTATTTGTATGAATTAATAAGCCCAAATTATGTTAGTTGTAAAGTTTATTCAACTTCACCAGCAGAAGAAGAACATCACAGAAAACTAATGTAAATATGTAATAAGAAAACAAAGTTGTATTGTATGTAGAAGATAAGTGATTTCATACAATATTGTTGTTATAACAAACAAAAACATAAAATTACTCAACATGATGCAATAAGTGGACATCACCGGTAGAGAATTGCATAAAAGTAAATCGCTAATTTAAGTTTCAACTTGTCCAGGAGCCTATAATATATAATAAACAAAAACAAAATAAATTAGTAACTAATAAATAATTGAAAAATAGGTACACAACTTACCTGTTTGTATCACGAGATTGAATGTAGGCCTAAAGAAAGTACTAGTTTACATAAAATGTATAAGGTTTTTTTTTCATTTCTTACTGAAATAGGCGGCGAAACCAGGGTAGCCATAGGGACACGTTTTTACCTTACTTTTTTAGCAAATTAGAAAAGTTCCTCTCTTCAAAAAATAAAAATTGTTACATTAGAAACAAAATAAAATTAGTAAAAAGCAAGTACAGCCTAAAAATATAAAATGGGTTGGAGTTTCCAGCATTTTTATTACTGAAATATCAGTATAAATGCGTAAGGTGCCGCTAGTGCTTCCGCCGCCTATGTTCACTGGACGTAGAAAATTACTTTTAGTTTGAACTGTACAAATCCTGTATTGAAGTAAAATATTAAAATTATAATTTTCCCAAAGAAGATAAATTTTATTGACCCTTACATAATAAATTTTTTTTGTGTACCATATACGGATGTTCCCGAACAATCAGAATACCGTAATCACTTTTATGTCTGGAGTCGTATGGCATGATTTGAACTTTTACTGTGTTTTAGTGCCTAGAAATAAAGATTCGGTTTTATGTATGAATTTTGTGGGTTTGTTTTTCTGTTGTTATTGTCAAATATAGGCTGATTATTAAGCCTAGAATTACCAATGTGCGTCGACTTTTCTAGATACATTTTCCAACATTATTTATGCACCAAAACTGTCCATGTGTTAATGACTTTGTTGGTTACAAGGTCTGTAATTATATATCAAAATTTGTAAACAAAAGTACTGTGGTATTTCAAGGTTCACTTATTTTCCTTAGAGTAATCGGTTAGGAACCGCAGGATAACTGAAGGCTAGTCAGGAAACAAATTGCAGAGCAGAAGCTTGAATTTCACTAAGTCATAAAAGAAGAGAGAGAGAGAGAAAGAAATTGAACAAAAGCTCGCACAGAGTAAACCTTTATTCACATGAGGAATGTCTAACACTGTTGGAAAGTGGATGGGGCTAAAAAAAACTAAGTGAATGTAACATAATTGTAATCAATAGTGTATGTACGTAACTGGAAAAATGGGAGGGTAAATGCTCCTTCTGCCCTATATGTTAGGCACCTGTGATTCATTCGCGTCTAATCTTGCTCCAGACTGAGAGAACATGACATTATATATAGAAAACAATAATGTCCATTCTTTGATGATGCAAGCGCCACCAACCTGACTGACGATCATTTTCACTTCAAAGTAAGGGATGTTATATCACAGGGCAATTACCTGACTTGTCAGTAGAGAAGAGCAATGTAGCATTCTATTCAGAATACACTGTGTTACAGCAAACGTTTTTTAACATGGAGCGCATGTGATGCCCTGGTTGACTGGCCCAGTTCTTTGAGTAAATAGGGGAAGAGAAACTTCTAGGATCCATTGACTGTCTTTCTGCATTAAGGTAAAAACACTAAAGATATACATAAAGTTGGAAAAATTATGTAGTAACTGAGGAGCTAGTAAATATACGGTAAGCTTTATATATCACAACGACCATTTATATTGCAATTAATCCCATTAATTTCTGCTGGAGTCGCCCTATGCATCGTAAACAGAAAAATAATGGTTTCAGTTGTTGTTTTTTGTGGGGTAATCTGTTCATAATGAAAGTTAGAACAATAACAACAAAATTACTCAATATTATGCAGTATGGGAACCACACCCCTTGTATTGTTGCATATCTGCTTGTTTGTTAATTTCCCGTAGAAATTATTTCTGAGAAACTTTAGTGATACAAGTCCTTTCTTAATTAAAACTAGTCTATTCTTTCTCGATACAACTTTGTAATACAAAATTTCCACAGTAACTTTAAACTTAACTATTTTTATAAACACATGCTATAATTCACAGCAATTCACACACTTTACTTACGGTGCCTACTGTTCACTTGACTCAATTATCACTCTCTATATCTATCTATCTATGCATTTTTTTTCTATTTATCTGCCTATCTCTTGGATCTATCGCTGGTTTATATACTAAAAAGAGGGCACCTGGAACAAACTAGAGTTGCCAGGAATATTCATGATCATTCGAGAATCTCATCACGTGTTACCAGCGTCACACGACTTCCGCTGTCGAAACACTGCACCTTCCTTAGTATTGTTCA